TTCTAACTAATGATGTTTATATAACACACATGATATATGCAATAATAATATTTAAAATTACTACTACCATTAAAAAGCATACATTTTACATGACAGATGCTGTCTAAGGCAGCACATGTACAGGACTCCAATTAACTCTTACAGCCATTGCATGAAATAATTAAGATTAAATCAAATGACAGAGGATAAAATGACAGTCCAAGAAAAAACTCAACCACAACCACACAAATAAAAATAATAAACCCAGCCATGTTTTAATACAATGCTTTTTTAAACTAATCACAAGATTAACCCAGAAAAAGAATATTTTGCTGTGAAAGTTGTATGCTTGATGTTGTGAAATACAAAATAAATAATTTTATACGAAAGTACTGAGTTCCAACACCAACGCATAGATATCCATTCCATCTAAAAGTTATATGTTGAGTTAAATGTAGATATTTCGTATCTACTAGTATAACATTTTAATTAAAAGCAATAGAAGTAATAATTATAAACCACAGGAAAGACATAATCCTATTAAGAGTTATCTCAGTAGTATAATTGGCTCCAGGATATCTGTGAACACTCACATTATTGTTGTTTGACACAGAGGATTAAGAGCAAATAAAGTCCAGAAGGGAAATATGTCATATTTGAAAATCAAAATTGTGATTATAGATAAGTTTATAATCTTAGAATGTCTTATTAAATATTTTGAATCAAGGCAGGGTATAAATGGCAGAATTTTTCTTATAGTTTTAAGGACTGAAGGTTTCTGCCTCATATTTGTCATTGTGTCCATACAGCTAAGAGGCAGAAAAATAAATTGGCCAATCCTACTTTTCAATCTCCTCTTTAGCCACCTTGATTCCTGAATATATAGAATCATATTATTACTTTTTTCATCATATTATTACTTAATGTTTTTTCATCATATTATTACTTAATGTTTTTTCAGTCTCATTGTCTTTAATTTTAGTGTTTTATTAGGTTTATTATTAGAATTCTCCCACAGTGACCAGACATGTTTACCTTACTGGAACTTCTGTTTTTCAGTACTTGCATTGTTGCCTGTTTATACACAGTTTGGTAAAATTCTGTGTTCAAATAGTTAAAGAAAGATATGATTGCTTAAAGATCATCCAATTATCTCAGCATTTCGACTCTAGATTTTCTTGGAATTCTTATTAATTCCTTAGTGTAAATGTTCAGCTTTCCAACCCTGGATTTTTCTTCTAGAATGTAAAAAAGGAAGCTATTGAATTCTAGCACATTTTTATAATTAAGCAACCAGTCAACACTATCTGCTATGATCAAGATTAAGCAGATCCAATCTAAAAATCTCCCTAGTGATAGATTCATCATTAGTCATTAATCTCTCAGTTTTTAATTAAACTACTAAAACCAGTCATCTGAATTCATGTGTAGGAGGCAGAAATTTTTTTAACTGTACTTAACTACATATATATGACCATGCTTAACTACAGAAATGTGTATTTTCTTAAAACTACAAGGAGCCATCGCTGGAATGAAGTAACTCTCTAAATCACATAGACATATTTCTACTGCCAAGCTAAATTATTTAGAAAGGAGAAAGAAATACTTTAAAGTAAAAATAAGTATGGTCCGCTGGACAGCTTAAAGTAGGGAGGACCAGCACATTTTTTATAACTCAAACTCACAAAACAGGTTTAAAATTTAAAACAAATTTTTTTTAAACACTTTAAAAGCCTTAGCAAGTCAAGATAGCATTTCCATAGATCTGTGGTGGCCAGTCAATAAAAGGAAGAATAAGTTTAAGTAGATAAATAAATAACCCATAGCTTCTTCGAGTTGAATCCTTATTCTCTCCTTTGGATACCATCATTTTCCCTCAGGGCAAAAGCAGTTAAGATAAAGGGTATTCTGAAACAATCTTTTGCCATCTCTACCAGTTCACTCCCCATGATTTTCCTTTTTTTCAAAATACTCCTTAAAGTTTACTTCTTCCAAGTTGTTTCCATTACAGTTTCATTTTTCAAATCCATCATTTTATTATCTTATTTTCTTAATTAATAAACACAGAAAATTCTCAATTATCTTCTCAAATGACTAGAAGCTATAGCATAAGTAATTTAGAAACCATTTTTATTTGACTCAAAATGCACTGTAATATTATGAACAATGGGCTGAAGTCCCTTTTTATTCAAGGTAAATTTGAAATGAGTTTATAATCCCTCAATACTAACTGATAATTCAAGGGACAGACTTGATATGTGATTGTGGAAGCAGTAGAGTGTTAGGTAGCCATTCAGTCTGCTTGTAAATGTTTACCAAAATTACTAGTATTCAGAGTTAAAAGCTCCCTGCAGCTGCATACATTTTCCTTTGGCTACACTTTCATAGTCTGCTCTCAATTATCCATGTCAGTGGAGGGGAATAAGGTAGTGAACAAAAGTGAACTCTTCCAAAATCATTCTTAACTTGCTTTTAAATGTGTGGATATTGATATTATAGTGGTTATCAATACAAACAAAATAAAGTACTATGGAAATACTGTTGAAGTCAGGGAAAATGATCAATGTCTGAAATTCATCTTCTTTGAAATCTTCCCAGGAGAATTTGTATTCAAAAGTCATCCTTGACAAAATTCAGCTGTATCCAAAAAATGAGTCCACAAAGTAAAATAACTTTTAAAAGTATATAGACAGTGTTAATAAGCTTTAGAATACTAAATTATTTTGTTGGCATTGATTTTCCTAATTTTTCTATATTTTCGCTTTTTAACATGTTTGTCCTTTTTCTCCAACAAGAAAATGTCAACTTATGACATTTGTTAATTATCTTTTCTATTATTATTTTCCTTACATAACAGATTATGCAAATGTGACTTAGAGAAGCTGGGTAACTTGCCTAAAAATCACAGGGCTAAAAAGAGGTAGAACTAGACCTCCACTCCCTGGCTCTGAACCACATTAACGTGTCTGGGAAAAAATGTGACTTCTCATGCAACTTCTCCTATTACTACAGTGACTACAATTTTCAAGTGTGTGAGCTAGCTTCTATTGCCTAGTATCTATTACCTACTAATGTATCCTCGCTATGCCTATCCTCCAGCCCAGGGACATTACAGTTTTGGAGTTTGGTGACCTTCTGATTGTTTTTCATGCTCTGAACCCCTCAAACCCTGATGGGATATTCGATTAAGGCTAGAAATTATGGAGTGAGCACACAAAGCAACTTTTTACACCTCAATAACCTTTTTCCTCAGAAACAAATATATTTCTTGGCTGCCTCTCTGAAACCTAAGGTTCTGTAGGTAGCTTCCAGGGAAAACTAAATCACTGTTATGGTGGGTTGTCACCATTACCTTCTGTTCTTTCCACATTTATCAAGTGAACATGTTTCATACTGATAATTTTTTTAAAAGATTACTTGCTTCTCCGTTTATTTGAGACTAAGGCCAGATCAACCTCTAGACAACAGGTTTAATAAATTCATTCAAGAAAAATAAATCCAATGTATGCATTCAAATTGGATAGAAAACTCCGCTTTCATAATTCATTCTGATTCTTCAAATAAAAGTGAAATTTTGTGAGTCAATAAGATCAACTGTTTGAAGGTGTTCCTCTAGGCTTAACGTATTTTTCCTCACTGCATTATATTTTACTGATTAATTTCATACTCTTTCATAGTATTCTAGCTCATGAATCACCAGTACTACCTTGAGGGAAAAGTAAGGTACTGTGTGTGATGAAAGATGTTACTGTTCAAAGTGTGATGCATATATGAACCACATAAAAGCTGAAAAACCTGGAATACCACTGTTCTGGATTATAGGTAATATCAGGCAGACTGGTCATGTAGACTAAGGTTAGATTGAGGTGAGTAAGTGTGAGGGCTTGGCTTTTTAGTCTAGGTTGAAACAATAAATGACATTAAGCCAGTCACTTAATGTTTCACTGACATCTTTTTCCTTAGCGTAATGTGGTTAAGAACTAATTTCAAAGACAACTGCAAGAGAGATACAGAGAAAAAAATCAGTTAATCAGATAACATCACCATCCTGAAATTCAAAAATCAAAAGCCAAAAGCCACCTGCCCTCTGACATTCTTATATCTGAAATCAGAACTGTCTGAATGCTGTCAGAAGTTTGCTATTATTGACCTAGTAGGGGAAAAAAGGATTTGATTAAGTCAAAGGAACAAGGAACAAAAGACTATGATGTTAGTGAAGTATCTTTTACCCTGTGCACACATAAATATGTATTAGGTTAAATGTATCATATTGTTCAGTATGAAAAAGAAAATTATCCACAGGAGAAACCACAAGTAAATTAACTAGAGAGGTCCACATGATATACTTTGGCTCTTGTTACTAAAATGGATTTTTCAAAAACAATTTATGGAGTCTAGAGAAAACACTACTACCATCCCCCAAACGGAACCCAAAGTTCTTTCAACAATGACGGAGACAAAACATGGCAAACGCAGCTATTATGCAAACAGGTGGTTTTCAACTTTTGCTTGAGCCACTGAAAGGACTAAGGAAAGGAATATTTTGTCATTTGTAAAGAAAACATACACATGTATATGCATGTATACACATATCCTATCAGAGTAGGAGAGTGGAAATAAAGAAAAACCCCAAATAAAAGACAACAACAAACTAAAAAGCAGTTTATCTTGTCTCAGATATGCTGACATGGGTTAGTATCTTTAAAGTCACTGTTTATAATTAAATCCTTCTCATTTCATACATAAATGTCCTAGGAAGAACTCAAAGGAAACAATCATTCAGGCAGGACCTTATTCACAGGAAGCACGATGATATTTTTACAGAGGCAGAGTGCAACAGTGAATCAAAAACTGTTGAATGGAGAGAAAAACAGTTCGTTTTCTGATCGCACTGCATTTTCCATGTTCTCAATAGTTTGTTTCATTCTTCTCTATGTTAAATTATTTCTTAAGCAATACTATGGCTAGCGGGGACTGCCATAATCCGTGACACACAGATCTCCTTTATTTATATACTCTACCTTAGCAAATATTCAGGATTCAGATACTGGAGGTGAGGGCAGCAGACAGGTGTCCTGAAACGCATACCGGGGGCCGAAGGGGAGGTGCAGGGAGAGACTGGGTGAGAAATGGGCGCTCCCGTCCTGCAGAATCCACCTTTCTCCAACTCTTGGGCTTCTTCAGTCACATCATTCAGAACAGGACAGGCTTCCTTAACCCTCTCAGAAGTAAACAGCCCGCTTCAACCCAAAGGGCACCCGTTCCAGTCACGGGACCTCACTCTGTACCCGCCCGCCGGCACGGGTCTCTGGCTCCTCCGCACCCCGCAGACCTCCCGCGGAGGCCAAGTTTCCCTGTCCCGCACTCCCCACTGCGCGGCCACTGCCGCGGGGCCTCCACGGTCCCCACCAGCTGGGGCCCCCATCCGCCCCCGGAGAGCCGGCGCGCAGTCTGTACCTCGATGTCCGCCGCGTCCTTGCTAAGCACAGGGGCCATGGTAATGCCTACAGTCCGGAGTCCCCTAGAGGCAGACTCTCCGTGCGTCCTCAGGCTCCAGTCAGAAACCGAAGTGACAGCTTGCGGGAGCGCGAGTGGAAATAGGAAGTCAGGGTCCAGCAGCGCGGGGCGGGGCGGGCGGCGGTGACGCCCCGGGGCAGGGCGGGGCGGGCAAG